TCTAACCACAATGAAAGGAGGGACTATGGCTGTATTTGGACATGTAGGGAGCGTTAAGTAGAGCGTAATTGTGCATGAAAATGTGTTTTTGACCAAATGACATGGGTCTATGGTCTAACTTGACATTTGAAAGACATCTGAAAAGAATGTTCAATTGCTATTAAAAAAAACTAAACATTTTGTACATTTTTTCTTGAAATATGACACAGGTTCCCAGCCATACCCGAGTCAAAACATTTTATTAAATAGCCATGAAGTTTGTGCAGCAGGTTCAGTCGTTATATTAAAGCAAGTTCTGCACGCATACTAGAGTGTAACTGTATTCTTGTCCTCCATCATCCATCATAACCATTAAAAGAAAAGTAAGCTATATATTTATATTGTCAGTAAAAATAATCTTTTGATTGTGATGGGAGAACTCAACTTAAATGGCTATAGCTTGACATGTAAGCAAAAGTAATATAATTATAAAAGTTACCCATGTTTAACACAAAAATCTTTTATTTGGAGACACTAAATTATTTGAACCCAGTTTTCAGCTAAATTTAAAAATAAGTCAAATATTTATTTACTATACCCAAATTTAAAGAACAAAAGTTGGGAAAACAGAAATTGGCTTTTGTGAAGATAAAAAAGACATTATATTCTTTATTTAAATTAATAAATGTCACATTAAGTTTTTTGCTGTTATGTGTTTATTTGTTTTTGACTAATATGCTCATAGCTTAACCAAATTGAGTTTTCTGTCTCATTTTCCAGACCCTGCTGCATCTGTAGGTTTCATTGGCTGTGTCCCCTGACATTTTTTACTGCCAAAAACCCGCAAACCACCCCAATCATTTTCACATAGGTAGGTTTTCTGTTTTTCCAAAACACATGAAAAATTACTTTTGAAATTATGCTATGAGGCGAACAATTTGTTAAAGGGCATAGCCAGTTAAATATAGTGATATAGATATAGATATGTTTAGCAAAAGTAAGAACATTTACATGGAGACAAGCAGAAGAAGATCCTTCTTCAGGCCAAAAAAGAGTCAGGTTTGCGGGGATCGAGGCACAAATTAGTATTGCAATAATTTTATTATTATTATTTTAATAAAATATGTGTGTGTGTGTGTGTGTAGCCCTACATGTTAAAGGAGATACTTGAGATTATTTGATAATGAGATTGTTGAAACAGATAAAATGTAAAATACAAAAGTGAAGTACATTAAACATGTTGTGTTCTGACATCTTATCATCAATATACCAGTAGAATATATATAAAAAAAAGACTTTGGTGGCTAATTAACTTGTCCCTGGTCTAAAGAAACAAAAGACTAAAGCTGAGCTATAAATCAGTGCAGACCTTGTTTCCTTTGGGCTATTCAGCCACTTGGGGTGTAAAACGCTCAAAGGCAATGAGCACTTGAAAGTCTGGAACTGGACAGTTTCTGCCCAGCAATTATCCTGTCTGCGTGCCTCCTAAACACTGCATACCAGATATGTTTGGGCCTCTTCAGCAGCAGTGCTAGTTATGGAGACACAGATGCTAATGACACCATATTCTGAGAGGCGCAGAGACAGGGCCCCTGGCCATCACTTTTAAAGCACATGCCACACAGCCTGCACCACCCACGCCACACAGACGTATTATTGATGACCATGAAGGTTTGCTCTTCGTCAGGGTGGCTGCCTTTGGCAACTAAGCAGTAAAAATACTTGTCAAGATAACGCTTTCATAAGTGCTTATCAGTAACCTGTATTTGCCTTGTAAGAAAAGAAAAATATTATAAAGGTGGGCATAGATGTGAATATTGTCTCTTCTTGTCTTTCTAAGAGTATTTCATTTTAGGAATGACACCCAATAAGGAGCAGACTGACATGCACCTGTCACATGGATTGATGTGTCCAGCTGGAGAGATGGGCTCAGAGACACAGGAGAAGATGGGCACATTAAAATGGATGACCTCAAAAAAGGGATGTGTAAAAGTTTGAAGGTAACAAAGAGATGGAGTTAGATCAGAATGGAACTAGGTGACATGAAGTAGATACTGGATACCTTCAAGGTGACTCAGTGTGACATAACATTCCCAAAGGTTTACTGCACAAAGAGAAATACACAGACAGAGAGAGAGAGAGAATGTCAAGGCGCAAAAGCTCTTTGCAGATGTCCAAATAGGCAGTAAATCTTCCCGAAGACCTGAGGGTGCTCAAATGTTTTTGACTGAATCTGTCTCACAGCCCCGTAGCTCCAGAATGACTAAAACATTAACAAAGTATTCAGAACGCTGGTAGCAAATCGACCAACCCCCATGCACTATTGCACAAACACTGAACTGTGCAAACATGGACAAACCAAAATGGCCTCCATTCAGATGTCTAAATGTGAGTTTTTGTGAAACCTGGAGAATGCTTGACTGAAGAATGGGCTTGTACACAAACTATCTCTTTAGCTGCGCGCTCCCATTCCCATGAGTCATAAAGTGTCCCCTGGCATTTGACTAGAGAGGGCTGTGTGTCGAGTTACAGGTGTTCTTTTTAACACAGTTGCTTGAAAAAGAGGTTTATGACTTTTCTTCTATGGAGGGCTAAGGAAACAGAAGTGACATTGGACTTAAAAAACAAGTTTAAACCTGATTACAGCAGGATGTAATCACCTTAACAGCACGACAGCAAACAGACAGCACTCTACAGCAGGATTTTCACCACATCAAGACCAAATACAAATTACTTTGGTTGTAATTTGAAAAACTGGATTAAAAATAAAATTGCATTGTAAATGCATAAAGTCTGAAATATTACTAATTTGAATAACTGCACCACACTACAGCATTTGAATATGAATTTACATGAATAAGCCACTTCATAATAAAAAAAGACAAGTTGTGGAAGAAATACTAATTGTTATGAGGAAAATATTACAACTTCATGTTTGGAATGTGTTTAGTCCATAGCTGCCTTAAAATGAATAATGCACACTTTAAATAAAAATAAAAAATGTTTATAGGTTAGGTGTGTTATTCAGACACGTATTTGCACTATTTACATGATTAAATATTACATTTAATATTAAATTTAATTGGCATTTATTTCTTAATAATACTGCCTCACAGATTTATCCTTTACATCCTTAATTAAAAGAATACATGTATTCATTATTTATTATTTATTATATTAATGCAGAATTCTTTAAAATGAATTATGAAACATTAAAAGTGCTGCAGGAGAGGAATCAGTGTATTCTGCAGGACACGGTCTGGACTGGCTGGATGTGCGTGCTCAACTGCCCCCTGGCAGTGGCAGCTGTTACTGCAGTCATAAAACCACTCCCTGCAACAGAATACCACACAAAATGGTCCTTTGTCGTTGACACCAGCTCATCTGTAGAATATTGTGAATCTGCGTTAAGAAGGTAGAACTTTCACTTTTACTTGTGCTGCGTCAAGAACTTAAAAAAAAAAAAAAAAAGTTTACAAACAAGTAAATACAGATCTCTCGGTGATTTGTAAATAACAATTAAGTATAAGTATTTTGCACACTAGTAATTCACTGAACAGTAAATTAGACGTGTTTAAGCATAAATTACATTTATGGTTATTTGCATTATAATCAAAGTTGTTCATGGAGTGGGAAAATGTACAACATCTTATTAGGGGTGATTAAGAGTCGTTCTTTCTTTCAAAATGCGCTCAACTTTTGAGTATATTCTGTTGTCTTCAATACCCGGATTTGTAATATAGGACTGATTCTTTTGCATCGGCCATTAAAATGACAAACTTCTGTGACTGAACTGCAGTGCAGCTTTGGGGGTACTGCATTACAATACCTCGGTTCATCTGATGGTGGCAGTATAGGCTCTGACACAACGCAAGGCCATTGAGGATTTCTACATAACATAAAACCGCACTGTTTTGTTCATCAATGAATGATGACCACCAAATAATGAAAACGGTTTTAATTCTCAGAAATGTAAAGGTAGTATAAGATAAACCCAGTTTAGTTGGTTTTAAGAAAATTACCTGATTACACTGTTTCAAGGCTATACATTTCTATCTTGCTTTCAATCAACATCTTTTAGTGATAAAGTCTAAAGGTGAGAGTGTAACAGCACTGCCACATCCATTTTACAAGTATTAAAGTCTCCACAGAGCACAGTGGCATCAGTGAATCTCAGATGTGGAGAGAGAGACAGAATCAGGTCATTCAAATCAATTAACAAATGACCTTAGATTAACAAGGGGGAACATTTATCCAATATTAACTAGATAAAAGATTAATATGTTGTCAGAAAATTAATATATATATTTTTGTTTTACAAGTAAGCCTTTGTATTGCACAACTGTACACATTGGTACCTTTCTCTATTTTAAAATAATGATTACATAATTGTGTGCATGCACAAATAACACTGATGATGAATGTCAAGTTGCTCTCTGAAATAAGAGTGAAATCAACTGTAGCCGAGATGGCAGTTCCCTCCATTTCAAAGAGACTATAACTGAGCCATCTCAGAGGGGAAAGTCAATCTCAAGGTGCACTAATACAGACCCATGGAAAGGGCATAAATCCCTAGAAAGCAACAAAGAGGAGATCAATAAAGCATGTAAACAAACCACAGTGAAATGAAGTTTAGATGGATGAAGGGGAAGCTGAGGGTGAGCAGAGAAAACTGAAGACAGGGCACAGAGCCAGTGGCAGTATGGAGTGAGGAGCAGCGGATTCACAGCCATGAAGGAGAATCGTGGGTAAAGATGGTTGGCAGCCGAGGGAGGAAGGGGAAGTGAGAAATTAAAAGAGAGAGAAAAATGGTAGTGTAGAAGTGATTTATGCTAGTTGTATAATTTTCTACAACACTGCTCCCACTCCCCCACCCGCTCCAGTCTTCTCCATACCTCTCCCTCCCACCAGGGTGAGCTCCTCCTCACTGTCACACCAAGCAGTACTCCCTGGCCACACCAGCCAGTGATTAAGATTCTGTCGTGATGCGACTGCAGCACTTCGCAAATGGAAGACTGGACATAATTTCCCTAAAATGCTGTTTTTTATCACCTATTTCCCCTTCATCAGCTTGCCGCACACGATTGATAGCTGATGGCACCTCTGACAACTTAACGTTTTTTATGGCTAGATTTATGGGCTATCTGCTCCTCTCCTTTTACAGCTCAAACTCTGTAAAAATGCTTATTTCTCAAATAAGGAGAGGGAGGGTGCATGCCTATGTGTATGCAATAGTATCACATGCGGCGAAATGTAAGTATGAGAGGCAAGGTCCCACCCCACTGCGGTGTAGTCCTAAACACAGCATCTGCATCTTTTTATTCTGCACTTGAATATGAATTGTTCCTTATTTCCAATTCCGAGTTGTAATTGTGCTATAACTTTTGAAAATATATGTTCTTGATCATTTTATTATGTGAAGGAATTATTTTAAAAAAAATCATAAATTGTTGTTGAAGCTCAGGTTCATACAAGTTTGGCTAATTTGTGTAAAGGTGTTTGGGGGTGAACACTTGAGCCGCAGTGCTGTTCATACTGGAATGTTTGCCTCTGCATGTTGGAGGGTCTTGTAACTGGGCTGTCTGAAGTGTGTCCATTGCAGGATTCACTCCCTCTGGTCAGATTTACAGCCAGGACTGCCTCCCAGTTAGCCTTCTCCTCTCCTCCACTGATGAGCCTGGCAGATCCCAGACAAACGGCCCCAGGGACTGAGGTGCAATGGTGATGGGGGAGGGGCCATATGAGCAAGAGAGACTGATGAAATCAGTGATTCATAGACATACAGGAGGACACACCCTGGAATGGGGTAATACCACACATGTTTTAACTGGACCAGCCCATAATTCATTGGTTTCCAAGGCTACACACACACCTTGAGGAAGAAGCCTGAGGAAACCATCTCTGCTTTTAGATGAAGTCCAATAGATGGGTGGATTAAAATTCAAGGCTGCCATGCCCATCATGGGCCTCCACTCTGGTAGATGGGGCCAATCTGTTAAGTAGAGAGAACCAGTTTATCTGATGAATCGCTCTAATATTCTCAGAGTTACAGACAGATTTTTTGTTACACTTGAAACCATGACCACACATCATTCATTGTCTTTTGTGATATAGGCTATGATATTGTCACACAGTTCATATAGCTTGTGTAAGAGACAAGACATATAGCCATGTCTGCCATTGAAATTAAATTGTCTTTTGAATGTAGAAAAAGACAAACCCTATTTAAAAAAAATACATCAATGTTTGCAATAAATTTGTGCTGCAGTTTATTTTGCAATTAAGCTTTCATTTAGCAAGCCCAACCTGTACATTTCAACAATGCTCTCAATATTACATGAAACATGGTGATGATAAATAAAACCCCACAGCAGTGCACTCACATGTTCCATAGTGTGATCTTTAGGATGTTGCTCATTAGAGTGGATATTAATCTGACAAAAAAAAAAAAAAAAAAAGAGTACATGGTGGAAAATGTAAAAGGAATTTGTGAGAGCATTTTAAAAAGGGGCCATTTAATCAGAATCATTATTTTTTGCAGTTCTCCGATGGCTCGTAACTGTGGTCTACGAAGACAGGCATGCCACAGCGGGGTTTAATTTAAAGCCAGAAAGGTCACCACACTAAGGAAGGTCTGCAGTTCAGCCAAAAATATAAAATGAGGAGTAGAAAGAGAAAGCTGTGGGGGTGGTGGGCAGGCTAAGGAGGAGAGCAGGATTAAAGGAGAACAGACAATATCAGCTCTAAAGGCATGTGCCTTGTATACGCTATGGAACAAATATTTAAAGGTGTGGAAAACACTGACAGGATTACTTTAATTAAGCTGTAGCAGAGCTGACTTCAAAACAGTTGCAAGTCGTGAGTTGTGTTTTTTTTTTACTTTAATTGTGTTTCTGAAAGCAATTTGCTATAATGCCCTACAATTTAAATGAAAAAACACAACATCTATACTCAGTGAAGGATTGCCAATCTGTCCCACAATCTGTGTTGGCAGAAACAGAAGCCTCCTCGAGCCATAGCTGAATGAGGTTTCCATGCTCTGTCCAAGGCAATAACAGTCAGATGGAATAGTAGCTTTGCCACTGCAACTCAGCAAAAGGACAAAACACTGAAACACTCCAGATTAACAAAACATTTAGTTTATTTATTAAACAACTGCAAAATTATATCTCCTTTATCTGTATAAATAATTATATAATATATATTTATAATTATAATATATATTTATATTCAACAAACAGGTACCATGAGTCTTAAATTATTTGTTTATATATCAGCTCGCATTAATTGACCACTGTGTATTTGACCACATCACATAAAAACAAAAGATTCTCATGACAGCAGACTGACAACCTCTGAGCATTGCACTGTGCAGAGATAAAGCAGGTTCAATTTTAATGTTGTTAGCACACAGAGACAAACAAAGCTCACTTATAAAAACAAGATGCCCCCCTTGCTTGTAAATGCACCAGCCCCCAAAGCCCAAGGGGTAGGGTCAGCTAAGGTGGTCCAAATTAAGAGGAAGAGAGGAATTTGACTTGTTCAAGCAACAATACATCCACAAGATCAATTTCTACACTTAAATTTTCAATCCAATTCCCATCTCTTTTAAAAACTAATACCAAATTCCAATCACAGCTGCAGTAAAGCATTAGCTTGTAAAAGGTCATAGTGTAACCTCTGAGTTCTCTAAATTGAATGTTGCTTGTCCCACTTTGCTTTGAAATACTGCAGAGGCTGATATAAAAACGACCCTGTGCACAATCACACCTCCACTGGGACTTGCAGCCGGTGCATCACTAGCTGTTCATTTTGATGTCATGTATCACAACACAAAGTTAACGGGATGTTGGCGGGCTGTGTGAAGAGAGATGGAAATCCCCCAACAGGAATATAAAGTAGCGCGGGATATTTCAGAACAGTTTTTGGAAAGGTGTATCTGTGTTTGCTGCCCATATCCAAATGCTCACATACAAAGGAGCATCTCTGCAGGAGCCAACCAGGGATCTGATCAGATGGACGATCAAACACTAATCATTCCCTCACGGCCTATACTGAGTAAAGCTGTCATTAATTTTGCGGAATTACATCAAATCTGAGACATTCTTTATGTGGCCCACGGCCTGTAGACAGTTATACGACAGGGACTGCTGCGCTAAGCAGATGGGGCAGTTTGGCCGTGCATACTAAATACCTCCGTCCCCCATCCCTCCACTCTACCCTCCTTCTAGGCATTACTGCGGCTTTCTTTGTTTTCCACCCTTCCTGGGGTGGATGTTGGAGCCTCACCAGATGCGACTAGTTGATTTCATTAAATTTTATTTATTTTTTACACTCTTGTATTATGTTTTAAAAGAACAGAGCACAAACACAAAAATAAATATCGACTAATTAAATGTGAACATTTTATGTGAAGAAATTTTATTCAAACAGGAACAGCTTTCGTGGCAACTGTTGATGGCAGTGGCCTGTGACACATACCTGTAGTGTGGTGAGCGAGTGGCACACTGGAGCTGGACAATTTTCTTATTTCAGTAAAATTGAATGTGTGTGCATGTCCATGTGGCTGCAAGAGATAAGAAATTACAAGGATTATTTACACTGAGTACAGGAGAGATCAATGAACAGATTAGCAGACTACTATAGTGAAAATAAGAATGAATTAGAAATATTGGCGATAACAAAATATGATTTTACATTAATCATAAAAATTTACAATACAGTTCCCCTGCTTCTTTAAATATACTTATCAAATAGCGTTAATAAACATCCTCTGAACAAAAATAAAATTATGATCTAATATTATAAATTTAAAAAAAAATTGGAATCTACGTGTATTAAATATATCACCTTTATTTATATTATTTTGTAATCTCACCTTCCCCCTGGAAAACAAAAAAAAAAATAATGTGTTTGTTTTCTGCTATAATAAGAAGGTCACTGACTTATATAATAAATGCATTACATTAATTTATCTTGTTTTGTTTATTTTGTTTATTATTATACTCCTAAAATTACATTTGTTTTGCAGTCTAGCAAATCATGGATGTGAAATTATAAATTATGTTAGTAAGCTCTATTCTGAGATGTCACACATTTCCTTGTCAAACAATACTTGAGAAGGTTTGGTAATATAATACAGCATATCATTGAATAATAGCTTGATGGCGCTGTGACTTCAGCTTTTACAATGCAATCAAAATGTGTTGAACAATAAAGGTCTTTAATGAAAAGTAAAACCAGTAAACATAGGCCTACGTTAAGGGAATGCCAAAAGTAGTCCAATACACTATCTTAAACAGAAGCATTGGCATCAGACCTCAATACCTTGATGCTTTTTATGATTGACTTCAGTCTTTTAACTGTTGTTTGCATTGTACAATACACACGGGGAACATTTATTTTAATGTAGGCTTGGATTTTTTTTTTTTTTTTTTCTATAGCGATTTAGTCTATGGGCCTATTGCCTTTGGTCTCCATTACTCCAAGTCTTGTCTTTTAAGATGGCATACTGCCCTCTGCCGATCAAAAAGTGCTCCCCTCCTCACGTGCACTTTTGGGGGGGGAAACCCCACCAACAACAACATAGACTTCTAGGATATTAAATTGCCCAATAGTGCTCCGTAAAGTTTAAATTTAATTTCTAAATGTAGCCCATAATAGGCTGGCAACCGTAGCCTACTGGGTGAAAAAAACATTTCAAACTAATGGCAACTAAACGGCACAAAAGTTGTTGAAATAGCACGTGTCGAGATCAAAGGCTTCATCTTAAACTGGGATAAAGTTTGAGGACACTCACAGGCGTGTTAGATGGAGCGGGGCGCAGACCGCACTGGCTGGATTACATTGTAACAATAACCTCAGTCTGTCCCGCTCTGAAACCGTATTCATCATTCATCAAGAGCTTTATTAGAGAAAACTACAAATAGAACTATAATAAAACTACACGGTCGAATTTCTGTTGAAGGAGCTCCTGGTGTATTGTTCATCTAGACTGGGAAATGTAGTTTCCAATGCAAGACTGTGAGGTTGTTTTAATCCCGTGCAGGACTACATTTCCCAGAATTCATTTGTGAGCGTGAGGTTGTCGTGCTCGTCTTTGCGTCGCGTGTTTGTTATTGTTTCCTCTTAGTGACAACTAAACTCGAAGAAGTACGTGCACTGATAAGTCAGCGTGGCAACTTTTGATGTAACATACTGTCGTTTACGGTGGCAAAGGAATATGTTTTTTACTGCCTGAGCGACAAAGGTAAGAGATGCAACACTGTGAGTGACAACGAACGCATTTTCTGTTGCTCACGTTTCTTAAACTTGACAGAGTATGGCGATTGTCTAATGTTTACGAAACTGAACATCCATTAGCCTATTGTTAACAAGTGCCTGTGTTTTAACGCACATCGCATATTATGCAGGCCTTTATAAGGCATCTACTTCTCGACATGTTTTTCTCGACATGTAGGCCCTACCTTGCTGATGTACATAACCTGAGATCTGTAAAAAGTGCTAGCGTAAGCTACTGTTAATACTAATAGGCCTGATATTGTTGTTTACCACTAATTACGAGCTACAGAAGAAGCATCGGATATAGTTTTTACCTGACATGCTCCTGTTATGTCATCCAATTGGTATTTTTAAGAACTTAGTGCTACAAAGTTAATAATCTTTCTCTGAACTCAATGCCATGACTGCTGTAGCCTATGCTGTACATTGAGAGTGTTTGTGTATATTAGCCTTTTAATTAATTTAATAGATTAGAGAAAAAGAAGGGGGAAAAAGACATTAGGCCTTGTTTTTCCACAGCTGTTAGCACGTGTCCTATGTCTGTCGTGTTCCAGGTTATATTGGTTCAAGTCTCACGGGGTCAGCAAAAATAAGTAAAAAAAAACATAAAAACCCAGACAGCCACAAAAGTGTGAGCTATTATGACAAAGCCTAATTATAGCCTAATTCGTATTTTAAGTGATCTAGCCAACATGTTTTAACCTGGCGCATGGGACCAATGTAGAAGCCTATTATAGCTATAGAATAATAAAATTGTGTCTTATGTATTTGTCAGCTCAATTTGAGCCATATATGAAAGGCCCTATACTTCTTATGTATGCCTGACAGTCACAACTAGTTTGACAAACCTTAAAATAGCCTTGGTGGCATGTGTTGTCAAGGTCGCACTAATAAAAATGTGTCATTCATCTCTTCCTTTAAAGGTCCTATATTATGCATAATTAACTCTTGTGAGCATTTAGCCATGTTTGGAATGTTGTTACCTTGTCAACAACACCTGTGATTGTGTTTTGTTTCATTCACGCATGTTTGAGTAACTACCTGTATCTTCCATGATTGCTTTAGTATAAAAATGGAAAAGACTTGGCCAGTGGAATTCAGGAACATAAGCTGCAGTTATTTTCCTGAAAGCAGAATTGATTGCCACTACACCGTGAGCTCACAACACACCTGGGCCAGTGCGGACTGGATAGGGCTTTTTAAGGTAGGTAACAGTGCCATAACTTAAATGCAAATCTGCCAAAATTATTGACTGTAACAATTTATACTTTTTTTTTTAGGTTGGGTGGTCTTCTGTGAAAGCCTATCACACATTTGTTTGGGCCCTTGCTCCAAGTGACTTTGAGGAAGGCACAGAGTTCAACTGCTGTGTACAATTCCAGGGTATTCATTTATTCTTGAAATATGAATTTTTATGCTTATATTCATTTTTGTAATAATGTTTATAATGTTCCATTGCCTAATGTAGCCTACACAAATATGCGCAATTTGGGTCTAGGACTCCCTCTGATAAAAACTTAAACAAAAATTGTTTACTATAATCTTATCGTATAGGCTACCTCTTTCTCTGCTCACTAAAGTCACTGAAAGCTGATAAGACAACAGTCAGGAGGGGGCAGGGATTATGTGCAGCAGGTGTGACCCACACTGAAGTGATTTATCTCACACATATTGTCACTCTTCACTGCAAGTACCAAAAGAAAACTATTAGCTATTCTTGTCTTTTAATATGCAGTAGAGATCTGTAGTGAAGACCTAAATCCTGGGTCACCTCCTGTCAGTCAAATTAAATAACTTTCTTTATTATTTCAGGTCCATAATTAGGTTTCTGTTGACATATATTTTCTTTTAATAACATAACAATAAAAGGAGAATTTTAGTTTTTAGATGTTAATTAGATTCATGCTTTGAAAAGATCTGATGTTCCTTTTATTTTACAGCTTCATATTTGCCCTGTGCTAGCCCTACACAGTATGAGTTTGTATACATCGATGCCAAGGGTGAGGTGCGCTCCCGCAGCTCCTCTTTCACTTTTTCTGCCCCAAAACCATTGGAAGATCTAGTGACCCTTGAGGAAGAGTCTCATGGAGAGGAAGCAGGAAATGACATGCTGCTAGTTGTACCCAGGGCTGAACTCTTGCAGGTATAGGCTGAAGTGAACCACATGTTCAACTATATAAGCTGAAGAAAAAGATGACATTTTCAAAGAAATACTCATTCACAAACATTTTTATTGATTTGTTTTCTAAGAGTCACTTGCAAGAATGTCTGCAGGAGCGCACAGAGCTGCTACAGCTCCAGAAAGCAACAAACAAGTTGAGAGAACAAGAAAAAGAGGAGTATAAAAAGGCACAGCAGTCCTGGGACAGGCAAAGCAGTAATTATGAGATGGAAATTGATAGATTACAAAAGGAGCTAAAGCATGCACAAGACAAAATTGACAAGATGAAGGAACTGCAAAAGGTTGGTTCAATAGTTTTCTCAAGGTTAGTTAGTGTTTGTGTGCACTTGAATTAGTTGTATTTACTTCACAGCTTGATCTTTGTTCACATGCACTCCTCATCATTCATGATAGTTCTCTTAGTATGCTTGAATCTTGATCAAGCGTACATGCACACATAAGGTTATTTCTTTTCTATGTACCTCACTGATTGAGGACAGGGGGCTAATATAATTCTGTGGGACAGTTATTCTTTTGAAAGCCCTTTATATCTCACACTAACTAGTGTCAGTCTCAAAACACCCTTAGAATTACTCCATGAATTCATATTCTTAATATGATAATGTCCTCACTAAATAAACAGGGCATTTGTTGCGTATTTAGAAGGAGACTGCTTTGGGAGAATCTCTGCTTCAGGAGAAATGTGCTTTATTGGAGGCAAAAGAACTGTGTGAGCAGCGGATCAGAGAGCTGGAGGAGGACATCAAAATCATGTCAGAGAAGACCATGGAAAGAGACAATGAATTAGACAGGTTAGAAATAGATATGTACTTATATAATTTTGTGTTTATATATTTGTTTTTTGTATGCATTCCTTAACTGAATTTTTGTTACAGAATGAAACGAGCAAGGAGAGCAGGAGTTCAAAAAAAAGAAGAAGAGAGTGAGAAGCTAAACCTTCAGGTAAACCATGCATCATGTGCAGTATGCCAAAAAAAATGTAAATTTGTCTCAAACTTTAATCTCTTCATTTATTTAGATCAAGTTGGAACAGGCTGAAGCGGAGCTTCGAAGTCTGTCCAAAGAGTTCCAGAGCCTACGAAACTCACTGGCCCAAAGGGACACTAGTATTCTTCAGCTTCAAAATACCATCTCTACCCTCACCCAAAAGCTCACAATTGCCCACAGAAAAGAGGTCAGACACTCATAATCTTACAGAAAAACTTAAAACATACGCCACATACAAGGCTACCTGGTAGCCCTGAACGAGCCAAGCCTAAGCACTGGAGATGAAACAAATCTGGGGACAATATTGTATTCCTTACCTACATAAACTGCTTACTGTAAGCTACTTAATTTTATGTCACTTTAAATACAGGTGTCCCAAAAAAATTTACATCAGTTTAAAAGCAATTATCATGAAAACTACTAACTCTAGTTCAATGAAATTGAAGAGTTTAGGTATTCCAAGATGTAAAATGACTTCTATTTGGGAGTGAACGGCATGCCTCAACCTGAAAACAGGATAAAAATAAAACTCTAAATATAAAATCTTGAGCTGTTTCTATACTTTCTGTGAAAATTTTAGGTTATTAGGTAGAATTGCCAAAATTATTGACCTGCAAAATTAGGTAACATTTTTTGGGAAACCCTGTATATTCTTATGGAAGGTTGTGTTAATTTACTACCAGGCGGAGAATGAGGCAGCAATGAAGAAGATGCGAACCTTACGTGACTGTCTGAGTGTGAGTGAGCACACAGCCGAGGGGCTGAGGAATGACTTGAGTGCCATGGTGACGCAGAGAGACCAGGGCCAGGCAGAGCTGCACCAAGCTCGTCTGCAGGCAGCACAGCTGACTCTGCAGCTGGCTGATTCCACTCTGGCCCTGAGAGAAGGGAGAGCCCAATGGGCACAGGAGAAGCAAGGGCTACAACAAAGTACTGAGGTATGGCACTGTGTAAGAAAAAACATAAGAATAGTTTGTATGTGTATGTGTATGTGTGTATTTTTTAAACACCCTGGTCCAGGACAGGGATGACAAAAGCCACAGTTCAGATTTGGATTTGAGTTTTGAAGTAAAAACAGTTTGCTTTTTAATGTAATAAATTTGAACATTTATGGCCATCCCTTTACATTTACATGATTTGACATTCACACTGACATTTGATTTTCTTATCACTATAGAAGTATCATGAACTAATTGAAAAACTACATGAAGAAATTCAGAAGTTGGAAGAGACCGTGCAGGAGGAGAAATTGGAGAGAGTAAAGCTGGAAGTTGAGCTTGGACGAGAAAAAGACTGCAACAGGGTAAAAACACATAATTTCGTAATGTATGTTACAGCACAGGTTCTTTGATTTTTTTTTCATATTTTTGATATTCTTCGCAGGTCCAACTCAATGAAACTCGCAGAGAGCTACAGGAGCTGAAGACCAGTCTGAGGGTCACACGAAAAGAGAAAGAACAACTACAAGCAGAGAAAAACGTCAGTGATGTCAGTCATGTGTTAACTAGAACAAATTATATCTGTTAAACAATAAATAATGGAATCACGTGTACTTACACTGCTGTAAAACAAAGTAATAAGAATACTTTTGCTCTTTGTAATGGCATACTGTTGCCTTCCATTCAAGCTGTTTTAGGACAATATAAAGAAGTTATAAAGTTTCAGGACAGCCTGTGGTCATGTATGTCTGTGTCACACTTTAGCAGCCATTAAGGCTCTACTTTATAGTGATTTTTATGTTCATAGTATCAACTCTTGAATTTAAATGTTGCCACGGCAGTGAACAAGGTGTGGGTTATGTGGGTAATGCTGGCTGAAACCATGACAAATGTCCTGCTGCTGTGGGTGGGACAATAACAGTATTTTCTACTTAAGGAGTTGATGAAGTACATCTGTCAGCTGGAGCACAAGATGGGAGCAGTGACCACAGTGACCGGTGCCAAGTGGAGCGCTTCCCTGCTGTCCTCTGTCGGTGAGTTCAGCACAATGCCAGTGTGAACAGTAATACTGTTTAAGAATCACATAGGCTGTATTCTTCCAACTGACTAAAAAAGTAATGATTAAAACTCTAATTCTGTCAGCCAAAAAAAATTTAAATAAAAATAAAAAAATGAACCAGGCATACGTTTTTTTTAACATTTGCATGTCTGGAATCAAATTTGATTAAAAAAATTAAATTATACGTATCTCACTACAAATAAAATATAAAGATTTTTTTTTTTTTGATGATGATGATGATGATATGATTTTTTTTTTTTTTTTTTTTTTTTTAGCCATGCATTCATTATCTGATTCTGATGAGGATGAGAGCCCTGAGGCCTTCCAGTCTGTCAGTGCCCCTCTTGGACACTACAGTCTGTGTGAGCATAGCCAGCCTGAGTCGCTACTCTTGGTTACCCCTCCACAGTCGCCACGGGATACTGAGAGGAGTGCAGTTGTCATCAACCAGCCAGCACCTCTCAGCTACCCCCACCAAACCAGCTCTGACACTCTAGCTCACAGCTCAGATTCGGTGAGACTATTCATCTATGATATAGTCCAATTACTATACGAATGATAATGAAAATGAGTTATGTCTTTATGTGTATCGGTAAAACTCAGTCAAGACATTATCACCAAGAAGCAATTAGGCTCAGCACTGAAAGTTATTAGTCAGTAATAGCCGTTACATATAGTGGGTGTGTGCCACTGTGTTCAGGAGGAGGAGACTGATAGACTGCAGTATCTAAGACGAAGTTCTGAAGAGGAAAGGGCTCTTCTGCTGCCTGATCATGCAGACATTGTTCTCAGGTACAACACAACCTGATCTTTTTACAGTAAAACACATAATTTATATAAATATATATTCATAGGTCCAGTAGGCATTGTTTACAGCTAAAACAGTGTAAAATATTATCTTGAGATGGGTTCCCTATAAGGATAGCTGTCTATTCCTTTAAAAACTAACAAACTAAGATAAAAAACAAATAATAATTTTTATTCTAAAGTTTCAAATTTTACTTCCTGTTTGGAAATCATGACATCACACTAGGGAATTCCACTGGGCCAAACTCCTCTAATATAAACTGAAATTATTATTTGACAAATCAAAATTTCCAAGAACACCTTACGGTAATTTTATTGAAAGAATATTTACAATACAATACAAAACAATAGTTTTTTTGTGTTTTGTGTTTCTTTTCAATAGAAATCTCCCTAGTGTGATATCATTAATATACTAGTAGAACTCTCTAAAGCAAAACTCTCTACTCCTCTGTAACAGTTTTTTTTACCTTTCTTCACAAAATATTTACGGAAAAGATAGGCTTGATGGTTCAAGTGATTCTCAAACTTATAAATATCCCATCAAAATTTGAGAATCATCAGAACCTGTCATACGCTCTTTACATATATCATCGAACCTATCTTTTCCAAAAAAAAAGAGGAATAGTGTGTTGTGTAGTAAAATAATTATGCTGTGTGTGAGTTCCTTGACCTACAAGCTATTTCACAATACTCACATTATAATACTTCATAGAAAGTCAAATATTTTAGCAATGCAAGAAATTTCAAAGCCTCTTCTGCAAACAGTCAGCATTATTTATTACCATTGAGTGAGAATGACTCGAAGATGGAAGTTTTGAATATGTGGTCATAAAAGAAGTTAAGAGGAGACAGTGAAACTGAACTGGGCCATGGGAGTGGGAGGACAAGAGGACAGATAAGTTGACAGCAGGCTGTAGCAATGATTTAGCTCTGGGGTGTAGCGCAGTCACGGGCCAATTTTCAGCATCATTAAAGCCTTCACTCTCCCACTCATCTACTCTTTTCAGTCTCACCTCCTCTTTGACTGAATTGTCTATTTCTTTCACTTTTAGCTTTAAACTACTATGCGTTTTGTCTCTTTCTAGTGATCTGGCTGACACTGCGCTTTGGTAACCAGTGGTTACAACACTGATGAAAGGGACAACTTTTCGGATTAATCCTTGTAACCAGCATTATCCATTTTATTCACTGCTTCTACAGTGACCCTTCTTTATGCCTAGTCGTCTTATTGCCTTTGTTGTTCATTGTTAAAATGACATTATGTTCATAATGGCAAGTCAACACCATATTTCTGGTGAGAACAGTTTTTTAAACTGTGAGCTTTTAGTGAGGGATTCTGGCAATTCACAGATCACTGTAGCAAATAATTTTTGTTGAATCATTGCAGAGGCAAAAGCTTTATGATGTATGTTGTGTTGTTTTTATGATTTTTGTGATTAGAAGTCACAACAGGCTGTGTAATTATTATGATTATGATGTTTTGTTCAGTTTCTTCTGTTGAAATCAGAGCCTTTACTGCATTGTTTGTCTGCTTTAATCTCTTTTTCCTGTATTTGCAGCTATACAAATCTATGGAGAGCAATTTGTGCTACTGAGAAAGGGAGAACTAGGTGGATTATTATTATTATTATTATTATTATTATAATAAATATAGTAGTATTGAATGTTTCCAGGGTAGTCATTTGACACCATGAACATGGATGAGTGAGGGATTACCTCAGCAGGTGTCTATGAAGATAATACTTCTACATATTTTTTACTTTTTAATCATTAAATTATTATCATCTTGATTGCTTTATTAAAATAATGCAATAGAGAAATCAATATTTACATAATATTTCTAAAGTTGTGCCTCAAAATTACACTTGTATTTACGTGAACTTTATTAATTGCCTAAGACAATGTTTACCTTTATTCTATACTGCATACAATTTAATATGATTTTCTAAACCAATAGCATATGAAGTTGCAATAAACTGGTCCTGAGTTTTGTATTTTTCTTAAAAAAAAAAAAACAAAAAAACATTATAATTAATAATAACTTTCATTTCATACTATTATTATTTCTGGGTTAAAAGAGTGGTTGCTGCTTGACAGATGTTAGCTTTCACATATTATCGGAAGCATTTCTTGTGTGTCTACTTTATGCATGTTTTTCTTTCCTGAGTTTTTTTATTCTTTAGATAATTTTGGTAATTGTATTTACATTTAACACTAATGTTTTCATGTGACACTTCACGTGTCTCATTTATTTGTGTTTAGTGTTGGGTTTACGTCCCGAGGAAGTTGTTATTTTTGTGGTGCCACTAAGGGCTCTCTGCCAGCACACACTGCAATAAAGCACCAGTGGTTACGGTTTATTTTGAGGTTTTGTGTGTCAAGGTTACTTGTATTTTCTTATAAGGCGTGTAACAGGGTGTGGCCAGGGCTCTAAATAATAAAATGGTTTATGTATTCCAATTGTGTCTGTGTCTTTCCTGGCCAAAGATCATGGCAACATTTTGCTGCTTGACATTTCACTGGTAATTAACTATGGCATTTCTTCACCCACATTTACAGCCTTTTACCTCTTGGCTTACCACCACCTCTAACACATTTCCAACATTTTTTCTTCGCCTTTTCCCTTTTTTCCCTCCTCCAGGGCAGATTTTACTATCAGTGCCATCATACTTGTACCACACCTTTCCTACAATTCTTTCTTTTTTCTCAGTCTGCAGTCCTGTCTCATACTCCATCTTAAGTCTGGGGTTGACTATAGCTAATTATAAAATCAATGATGCCAGGCTGCCTAGTTTACAGCCCCCTCTAAAACCTTAACTGGGAAATCACTGTGGGATTGATGACTCCCTCACTCTTTATCTCTTTTAATTAGAAATGTAAAAGATATGAAGACCCAGAGGCCAGAATACATTTCAGATTTTTTATGACATCAACGCCTAGATTCCTCACATCTCTGTGTCTGTGCTTTACCTGTTTATTTTCATTTTGATTCCCTATGCCACACACCACATTTTTATTCTAGTTAGGCACCTTTACCCTTTTCTCTGTACCCTTTTGTTTAAGACTAGCTGCTGGCACAAGGGAGGAGGATATTAAATTTATGCTCTCTGAGCTTGAAAACACCCTTCACCTTCCTGTCACCTCTGCTTTCTTCTCTCTACTGATCCTCAACTCTCCAAAGAGTCACTGCATTTTCGGCATCAAGCATACACAGGCCATCTTATTCATTCAGGTGATTCAAAACACATCACAAACTCATTATGACACAGGTACCCTTCGCTCCGATTCTAATTACTGCATCGATTATACCTGCAGCTCGTTTACCGAAACATTTCTAATGTTGTTCACTCATAATCAGAGCAGGGCTCTACTGTAGGTTGATTTTAAGGAATACAGAGAAACATAAATATTAAAATTACAGTAGCTGGTTTCTTTTCTATTACCCCTTTCTTGTTCTGTTAACCCTTGACATTTTGTATGAGGTAGATTCAAAATTTAACAGTCTCTCCTTCTCATAGTCTACATAAGATTCATTGCTTTTCTGTATACCCTTAATAGCAAATTAATTTTTTTTCCCAGATTTGCATTGATATTTTTATTTTTTAAATTCAACAAGACTCATACACCTCTGTGAATCTATAGGTTGATATTTTAGTATATGAAAATGGCTGAAACCATCTTCAACACACCCAGTCCCTCCCTGTGGTTCCCATGGCAACACCATCATTGCAGTATATGTGCCCATTTTATTGTTCTTGTAAAATACTGTATATTGTATGAGCCTTATTTTAATTCCTGTCTTGTGTTATAGATCTGTGCTTGATGCTAGTTAATTAAAGCAATCATACAATTGGTATAATCTTTTGAGTTTATGTCCTGCTTTGATTCTGATTCTTTCTGGCTCTATTCATAAAACCAAACTGATGCTCCTAACAGTGGGGCGCATGTCATAAGCTATAATCAAACATCAAACAGATCCAGTTGTTGATTATAAATGACTTGAACGTGTTCAGACAAGGATGGTCGTTAATTTACCCCAAACCATGTGTTGTTGTTTTGGGGTATTAATATAGGTCTAAACTTTACCCCCCGCCTTTGCCAATGATTGATTTTTACGTGAAAGACATCATAAACGTAAACGTAGCCTGCTGGCAAAAGAGTCCAGGAGCCATGCTTTCTCCACAAGCGGCAGCTAAGGAATTATTTTTCAGCGAACTCGTTTACTTTCCCACGTGTTGGGAAAAATAGAGGATGCGCCTTCGAAAAGCCTGCTATAGCATTAGGACTTCAGGTATTGGCTACAATACTGAATCCATCAAGTTACAAAGGGAGCATCTTGGGTGCAAACTGATCTGATGTCCTTGTTCTGCAGGCGGCGTGATTTATGGGCCGGTGCGCCCATCTTTTTCATGTGACCCAACCAACCTATCGTCCATGGCTCCGTGCAGCTCGCACAATGGAGCGGCTAGTAGTGCAAGAGCGTCCTCTACTGGTGTGTATTCGTATTGCGAGAACCTGCAAAGAGTTGAAATGATGTATTACCGTTAGTGACATCACTCAACAGCATTGGAATAGAGGTATAGGTGCAGTCATTTTTAACTTGAATTTGTATTTTAAAACTTCCATTCAATAGGCTAATAATTAAATTAATTTGTTAAAAAGTACTAAGTAACAATAATAGTAACAATAAGACAGATATACTGAATAATATCTCAAAAGTTTATTGTGCCTGTTTATATGGCTTTTCTTTGTATGACATAAACAAAAAGAGTTAACAACACCTTGGCCATGTCGCCAGAACTAACAAAAAACAATATAATAACAACAAGAAAGCAATGAGGAAATCACACAGTTCATGTGTGACAGCACCAACCAAGAACATTCACTCCATGGCGAAAATGTAACAGCATTCACGCATACTTTACACACACTCAACAATGATGAGACCTGCCTAATTTGTGAGATGGGAACTCTCATTGCTACAGAAACAAATGTCTGTATTGCTTCAAAGAGAGGCAGAAAAAGCCTCCGTATATCATCTGTGCTTTCCCAGCCAGACATTTTGGCAATAAAGAAATTGATACATGAAAACCCATATAACCCTCCACATAGAGCTGCTTTTAGAGAAGTGGGATATTCACAAGAAACACATAAAGATGGCTTTTTAGATGAGAAGGCAGTTTGCTGCAGGAATGCCAGTGCAAGCACATGGAAGCTGGGCAGCATTGGTGACGATGTTGACCTCTTATTAACGGTTTTCTGTAACCTTCTAAGTATATACATGAAAAAGGGTAATTGAGCTGATTAAAACTTAATACACATATAAATATTGCCAGTTTCTAGCATGCAAACTGCTAGGGTTTGGTCCTAATGAAACGCCCTGAGTCGGATTCCATACTGTCATTCAAGAAGAAAATTCCTGGTTTTACTTCTTGCATATGTCTTGAAGCATTGCATAAGACAAGTAGGATTTTATAAACTGTAAATGTGTGTGTTTTGTCCTGTGACATCATTAGGGAGTGCTCAAAGTTTGATTGTATAGAGGGACATAAACATACTCTTGAAACAACGTGTGCCTTACTTGAATACCACAAAGTGCTACATATATGTTCAAGTGTAAGATTCTGTAATAAAATTGTCAGGTTGGCACACTTGTAACAGCTAAGGATAGAGAAAAGGAGTGTGTCTATGAAAGGGATTTTCATTAGTGCGCAGGCTGAAGTGAAAGTTTATCCAAAGATGACTTTCTTTACTTTGGCACAATTATTTTCCATAGTGATCATACGCTGGCTGAAACTATATTATGGTAATTCCCTGATCAAATGAATTGTGTAACTGTAACAAAAGAACAGTCCTCTATGCTGATTATCATGACATCCAAACTGAGCAAAAGTGCCCATATAAACCCCTGTTAAGCGAGTAGCCATTAAGGAAGACCCAGCCAGTTTTGATTACCCTTCTTTCCCTGTGAATATTTTCACAGGAAAGCTTATTAAGTCTAGAGGGTTGATATATATATAACCAGAATAACAAATAAAAACAAAATACAATGTTATATACGTAGATATGCAAGAACTTATTCATAGAATGAAAAAAAAAACAATAGAAAACAATATTCAAATGCAATAACCACAATAACATAGATTAGCATACTCAATTTGGTTTTCCCCAGTACTCTTGTTTTCTTTAGACAAATGTGCTTTGTTGTTATCCATCAGCGTCTCTTGCTGGTATATGGTTTGGCCATTTCCCTATTATGACATGAAGAACAACAACATTGAAAAAAGGAAATTAGTTTTCTCAAAGAGGTTATCTGCTTTGTGTTGCGTTCACTTCCCTCTTGGCTAATGCCATGAGTTTATATAGTTTTCTGTCTGCTCTCCTTTACAGTTTCTTGTAGTTCACTTGTCATGGACCATGTGGCCTGAGTTAGGAGTGTCTATACACATAAGGCTCTGTTGTGCCCTGCAGCGGGGGACACTGATGTGCAAAGAGAGAGGGGAAGGAAAGGCCAGCATCTTTGAGGTGAAAGTGTGATTGATTCTTTTCTCTCAGCACAGTGAGTTTGTAAATCTTTATAACAATGTGTATGTTTATAAAAAAAACAATGTTTACTGTGCCCTCCCACCAAGGCTTTTCCTTGACCCATCTAAGGGCTCCAAAGGGCCCCAGGATTCGCCATCACTGTCCGAACACCTGTCCCGCTCATCATCCCCCTCATCATCATCATCCTCTTCTTCCTCCTCTGGAGATGGCTCACTGCCATTCTCTGTAGCCCAGCTGTCATCCTCATCCTCAGCTTCCTGTTTGAGAACCAAAGCTGGAGGCGGAGGAGGTGGTGGAGGGGGAGGAGGGGGGCTGTCGTTACACTCTGTTTGGTCCTCAAAGGCCTCCGGATTCTCGAGCATCTCCCTGATTAACGGAGGCATGGGCCCTGGGATCTCCATCTTCAGGGTGATAGCTCTCTCTGCACCTGAACACAGACAAGGCAGAGATAAGATTTTCCACAAAGTTCAGATGCCAGTAGTTACAAAATGTTTGAATGATTTAATAGATAATTCAGAGTGTGATTTATATATAATTTTACTGAGAGAACAAATTTTGTCATTTGTTTCTTCTCATTGGTTCTTTGTTGTTTGCTGGCTGGATTACTGCTAAAAGTGAAGACCAAAGGCCTTTGTCTCTTTTGTAGTTTTGTCCAAGATTATGACTAATTATATATATATATATATATATATATATATATATATATATATATATATATATATATATATATATATAAGAAACAGAGCAGAGCCGTGGTGGTTGACATCGCAATACCAAGCGATGGTAATATCAGGAAAAAAGGAACACGAGAAGCTAGAGAAATACCAGGGGCTCAAGGAAGAGCTGGAGAGAGCCTGGAAAGTAAAGGCATCAGTGGTGCCTGTGGTGATCGGAGCACTCGGGGCTGTAACCCCCAAACTGGAAGAGTGGCTACAACAGATACCGGGAAAAACAATGGACATCTCAGTCCAGAAAAGTGCAGTACTGGGAACAGCAAAGATACTGCGCAGAACTCTCAAGCTCCCAGGCCTCTGGTAGAGGACCCGAGCTGAATGAGGGTGAGAGAGACCTACCACCGTGGAAGGTGAGAAACACATTTTTTATATATATATATTAGGGGTGTCAAATTATCGCGTTAATTGCGATTAATTAATTACAGTCATATTTAGCGCGTTATGTTTTTTAATCGCGTTAATCTAATTTTTAATCTCTAACTTTAGTGTTTCTGTATGTGAGTTTCTTTATTATAAAACCTGTTTTTATGTGTTGTTGGGACACATTTATACATTTTTTTATTTCGGTAATTCCACTCATTGCCGGAAAGCCACACAAAACGCGCGCAGTAACAGCGATGTAAACGTCATGTTAACGTTGGCGGCATCAGTCGCACAATGGACGAGGTCAAAGAGCCAGTAGAACAGAGGCAGCAGTGCACAGGGAAAAACACATTCGTGTCTTGGAAATTATTCTCCCGACGTGAAATATAAAAGAAAATAACAAATATAATATCGTCTGAAAACAACCTGCATAGGCTCATGATGTCTGCACTACTGTCCTATAGTGACCTGCCACATGAGGGGACACGCACACAAACACACACAAACACAAACACACACAAACAAACACACACCTTCATCATCGTCATTAACCTGAGAACGCGCGGACCACGTTTCCTTCCGTAGACACTGCGCGGACATCGCTGTCCTCCCGTGAGCCGCGTGTGGATCGTGTTTTCTCGCGTACACGGCGTAAACTGCGCTTCCTCCTGTGCGCCTCTAAACCAGAACTAACATCAAGACTAAAACCAGGACTAAACCAGGTCTAAACCAGGTCTAAACCAGGTCTTAACCAGGACTAACACCAGGACTAAACCAGGTCTAAACCAGGACTAAACCAGGACTAAACCAGAACTAAAACCAGGACTAAAACCAGGATTAATCCATTCCAGGACTAAACTAGGACTAAAGTAGGTCTAAACCAGGTCTAAACCAGGACTAAAACCAGTGATCTCATATATAAAGCATTTCTCTATCAATAATATTTTTATTATGGTTAAGGAAAGACTGGACTTTTTATTGTCTTTAAGTAGACAAAAGTTATTATGTTCAGATTTCCTCGTCTTTGCTACTTTACAACAAACAGTTTCTTATTCATGGAGACTTGGGCTCAACAGCCAATTTGGAGAGATTTGTTAAACAATAAATTACTTTATAAAGTCACTTTTTTAAATCTATATTAGTCTTTTGATCTGCAACAATAATGTAATAATGAATTTAAATGAAAAATACCTCAAATTGAAGGCTTTTCTCAGCAATTTTTAGGTGAGATTAAAATGAGATTAATTAGATTAATTAATTACAGATCATAATTAATTAATCTCTCAATTTTTTTAATCGCATGACAGCACTAATATATATATATATATATATATATATATATATATAGTCACACAATTCAAAATGTGTAATTAACAAAGAATTTTGATGTGATAGTAACCTTTGGTGCTGATTCCCCGTAGGTCTGTTATTTTCATGAGCATTCGGGGGAACATATGAGGCTTGTTAGGGCGTCTTCGTCGGGCATAGATCTTCAGTGCTTCCAGCAAAGGCTCCTGAAGCTTATCCACTTTTTCAGGCTCCTCCAGGTCCATACGATCTGATGAAAGATGCAAAAAGCACACGCAATTTAAGTTTTTTTTTTTTTTTTTTGAGATTCAGCTTAACTATATTGTGTATAACTTTTTATTATGTATTCTGAATGAGCACTGAGCACATGATGGTGTAGTACCTCCACAAATGAGGCAGATGGCACTGAGGAGGCCAGTTTCTGTGTCATCCATCTCCAAGGGCAAAAGCTGGCCAGCAAAGGCAAACACTAGGTCTGTGAGAGGTCCGAAGCCAGCGTTGTGCATTTGAGTTCTGTTTAAAGTTAGACCATCAGAGAAGGTCATAGTGTCCTGTTCTGGTGTGTAACGTGTGCAGATTCTCAGCATCTGAAACAAACACACATGAGACACAATAGTTCATAATTATACAAATAGCATTACCTAAACAATTGCACCAAAATTGTATTTTACTACATTATTATGTGATCATTTAGATTTTACATTCTTAATATTTACTCTCATAAGTGACCCAATTTGAAGTATTTTTTTATCCACTAGATGGCAGTACTTCTACAGTTCCTATTTCTTGTTAACTGAACAGTTTACCCATTCTCTGGGGGAAAAAAAACAAAAAAACAATAAAGAATAGTTTTGTACCAGAATATCCAAGCAAGCTGCCTTGAGCAGAGTGATCTGGTCTGCGATAGTGAGGGTGGTGAAACCAGGCAATCTCTTGGCAAACTCCACGATCTTGATGATGCATTTAGTGGAGAGCTCACTGAACTTGTCCCATAGCCCCAAGTCTAGCTGGACTCTGTGGTCTGAGCTTGAGTTCTGTGTACAGACAAAGAGCCTCACATCAGCTTGGTAGTAGAGGTGGAGGGAACATTGGGCACACAGCACATTTACATTTTACATCAGTCAAGGACAAAATCCATTTACATGTTGCATCAATCATCCCGAGGCCACACAGATGGTCTAATGGGGAACTGAATTAGTTAGGCCACCACTATGTTGGGAACGCTATGGTAAATTTACAGCTCTGCTATAGCCACACTAAATAGCTTACACAGTATACACTGTATAACTTACCGTGGTGTATTTGCCAAGTTGGCAGAGTGATGGGAAGGTTTCTTGGTGAGCCTTGCTCACTTTATTGACCAGCTCTTCTAGTTCTCCACTGAGTTCATAACTCTCTGGAAGCACCACCTCCTCCTTCACTTCTTTTTTCTTCTTGTTTCTATCATTACGCACCGCTACGTAAAGACAACAAAATAAACATTTAAGAAAAAAAGTCACAACTACACTCTGTCCCTCCAAGTCCCCTCCTCCCATACTTTCCTTCCTCTCAGGATATCCAGTAATAGCAAAGGCACAATGTGATCCCGGTTTTAACACACATCCCACACAAACATTACACCCACATACATCATCTCTGGACTTTGAGGGACAAGTAACTGCCATTTTAGCATGGACATCACAAGTGTGGATGGAGCTATCATAATGTAACTGTTATGAATAAAACTAGTGCTTGAGCTACGTAACAGTGTTATTTTTGGTGATTAAACAGGAAGTCACAATGATTTTGTCACTAGTCATATGACTGGTACAGTGCCCTGCCTCACCCTGAACACCACCCCATGTAGACTCCTCATTTGCAGTACCTCTATCTCTATTGCATAGTTTCCTAGGGAGTGGCATAATTACCAATAGATTAATTCAAGTCTAAATACAAAAACAAATGTTGTCCTGCCAGTCTACAACTAATAACATTCATTACAAAAAAATGTTTATTTATTATTTCTAATTTTTTTTCAGTTGTACAGCGCTCACCTTCCTTGGACATGCCAACTTCAAAACATTTTTGTAGGCGGCAGTACTGGCAGCGGTTGCGTGTCACTTTGTTTATCTGACAGTTCTTGTCTCTGTGGCAAGTGTATACCATGTTCTTCTGGATACTGCGACGGAAAAAACCCTGAAGAAATAAGCAGAGAAAAGAAATAGGGGAAAATAAATAATCTATATGTCATTATTGTGCAGTTTGCAAAGAAATTATCTAGACCATGTTACAGACATTTTGGTAGAGTGTGTGATGAGTATCCATTTTTCTGAATTGACAGTTTTCCTCACCTTGCAGCCCTCACAGGAGCTGACCCCATAGTGATACCCTGAGGACTTGTCCTGGCACACAAAGCAGGGCTTGTAGACACGAGGTGGAGGAGGTGGAGATGGGGAGCTGGGGACCATCTCCTCTGAGCTGGTGCTCTGTGTCTCCACCGCTGTGGACAAGAAATAAGAACTGGGTCAGTATAAAAGCCTCATGCTTGGTTACTGGCTTTATACCAGTTCAATATGCAGCTAACAAGACATTTTGCTTCTCCCTAGATTCACATATTTGTGTTTAAACTCTGCTGAACAAGATGAGCAAGATAAGACAAATAAATAGCAAAAGAATATCAGTCTCCACTGCTTTGCAACTTTACAATTACCACCCTAAGGCGCAGTGCTAACAAGTATAAAGCACATGACTCTTTGTGTAAAAACTCTGAAAAAGGAGGAATGAGTGAGTGACAGCAGAGACAAAACAGGAGCATAAAATAGAGTTACTGACAGGTTTAGTGATAAGAGCAGGTAAAAGATTTAGTGTTACAGCCAGCAGTCGAAGCAAGCCCTTCCTCATTCCAGAGCCTGACAACCGCTTACAACACATCTCCTTTGCATTCTGCATATCCACGTCACATGAACGCAAAGCTGGTGAGGCTTTATGGGAAAGTAGAATAGCCTGTGACATCAGCGACACACTGAGTCACATAGCTGCAATGGTACATTATGCTTCATTGTACTCTCAAGTGAAACCTACACACACTCTTTTACATTAAACTCTGCAATGTATGGATTCCATACTTCACCCGAGTAACATAAGCTGCTGCATACACTTTCATAAGACCAGGCCTCATCACACATGCTAGCCTGCACAAACTCAGACACACATGTTGCCCCCCCTCTCACCTAACAGCACTTCTTTCAACTTTCACCCTTGGTCACCCTCAAACTTCAACCCCCCTTCTAGCTCTGCATCCCACCACCCCTTGACACACAAACCCTATTTTTCTCTTGTTTCCTGGCCCTAAATTCCTCAGTGCAGCCCTGCCAGGTTTTAATAGAGGCCTTGGCTCGTAAGGCGGCCTATAAAGGCGGTCCCATGGCTGGACTGGAGGCCCCAGCCCGGCTGGCCTACACTTTATTGGGACTCGGTCACCTTGGGCAGCTATTCACACCACCAGCTGTAGCTCCTAGCCCGTAAAAAAAGCCAATCATAAAATAAAAAACAGGGAGGCTCTAAAATTCTAACTTTTACTGCTCCCACCTCCCCCCGTACCTTCAATGGAAAGCATAGAGGGCTAGCCTAAACTTAACCTACACACCCCTCCCCACTGCTCTCTCACACCCAAGGCTGAGGCAAAACCCACCAGCTTGGCTTTTTACAAGAAAGGAGAGACTTCAAAAAGAAGAAAAAGAAGCATAAAAAAGGAATTTTATTTAAAAAAAAAAAAAAAAACACAGGGGGGAGTGCTCCTGAGGGCAAGTCTTGTTCAAGACCAAGATGACCATTACCACTACGGCTACAGATGCTGCGCCTAGCCAGCTACCTCATTAATGGTACTAACAGAAGTATATCAGACATATTCATATTTTCATTTTTTGCCTGCTGCTCACACATCTGTTTTTCATATGTGTTTTATATTTGACAATTCAGAATCCATTGAAATTCTTCCTTTGAAAGCTTCAGTTTGCTGGAGGCAAATATGTTTTCCATTAGTTTTAAGACCAATCCAAAAGCCAAATGTGCAAATCAATCTAAAACCTAAAGTTTGGGGCTGGTGAATGTTTCTTCAGAGCTTCTCAAATCTCCTAGACCAGAAAGTAACAAAGCCGCAGGGTCAGAGGGAGAACAGAAACCCTCTGAACGTGCCATGAACCTCTTTGTTTATGCAATAATAACAGCAGCAAATGAGGCTCCAGACCCAGTGCTGACAAGCCTTTAGAAAAGGACAAACCATATGTGGCGTCAAGTAACAAACATTGATGGACACTGTCTAAATGGAGGGGCCTCTGAGAGAAAGACTCACTTCAGGCCCTGCTAACATGTGGAACCTGGTTTGTGCCAGGGAACCTGACTCCTGTCCCTTCTCCTTTTGAGATGGCTCAATCAAAACGCCCCGCACCACTTACCCGTAGGCACCACAGAGAGAGTGCATTCAGATAAGCACTGCAGCCCCTTTCCCCAGTCTCCTTTACTGGGCTCATCGCTGTTTAGAAAACAAAGCCCACTGAAATGAGAGGCCCTCCTTATCAGCGTTCTGAGGTCTGGGGCCACAATTTGCATGACAATCTGCCATTTGAGTCCTGCAGGGTGCTGATGGACGGGTGAGATGTGAAGAGCGGATAGGGTGCTGGCTCTTGTTCAACAGGAGAACACAACAGAAATGGGGAGATAGTGAAGTTATCAGGAGCCACTGTTCATTTCCTGCTAAGTATCATTTTACTTCATAATCCCTTCTCTCAATGCTCTCCCTGCTCAAGTGGCCCAGCTGCACTGACCAGACCTAATCCCCGTCACATACAGTATATACACAGACACTATTCACTGGTCTTTAGCTCCACACATGCATACAAGAGGAGGATGATATCTAATTCCAAGTGAATGTCTACCATCTATTCAGGCACTTCCAAAGAGTCACAGTCCATCATTCCCATCAACCTCATTAGCAGTGAAATGTTACTGCACATGACAGAAATAGCTGTTTCGCTAAAGGTGACTCCAACTAGGTCAATTACATTAGATTCTAGGTCAAGTCAATGGGCTACTAAAAGTCCCTACTAAAAGTAATTTCAGACATCAGAATAGGGTAGATTATGAAAAAAATGGCAGATGATAATAAAAAAAAACAACATACTTTATGAAAACACTGAGGCTGCCTGTTGTTCACCCAACTGGAAAGAGAGAGTGTTACTAATGTATGTGTGCAAAGGCATGACTGTGCAGCTCTGTTTTGTGTTGCAATATGCCGCTTTTAACGGAGCAGCATATGACATTCTGGCAGAGTAACAAGTATTCTTTCACAATAGGCCTGCAGAGTCTGTCTACGTGACTTGATGGTGTGATTGGATCTTGACTAGGACAGTGTTCTCAAAGCCCTGTCTAGGCACGAGTGATCAAACTTGAAAGCTGTTTTCATTGTGCCAGTGAGAACAGAGCTTTGTACAGAAATACATGAGGGAGTGTATGTCATTTGTGTGTGCCCACTCTCAGCAGCCTGTATTTGAGTTGCAAATGTATGCTACTCCTAACAGGATACTTGGACTTGTCACAAACATGATATTGTCTCAAAGTATGCATGAAGCTGGCATTGCCTCCTAGCTCATGTAAAAGCATAGATGTTTGGGGCTTTTTGTTTGCATGAAACCAGCCATAAACCTTGCATGTTCTTGTCAAATGTGCAGAGCAGTAAAGAAGTGACTTGGAGTTAGCATGTAAGAGAGGCACAGAGTAAAGGCCTTAGTGTGAAATGAGGGGTGGTACTGGGCAGACTGTAATGGCAGAAGGAAAGCAGATTGAGGGGATAGTGAACAGTGGGCTGGAACACTTGCTGGCACAATTGATGGAGCCCTTTGATGGTGCCCTTGGCCTTGGCAAAGCATACAACTCCGCAGGGCACTATGAATGAGCATCACAAATATGACAGACTTATTCAGTAAAAGAACTAAAGGACCACGCCTCTGTGAGCAATCTCCTTTCTGCACTCTGCCTACGTTTTCCTGCCATCCCTCTGCGGCTTTTGCTACAAGGTCTCACAGACGTGCTTCCTTCCTCTTTTAAGTAGCACACTTTCCGGAGGATCTCACTGCTTTTGTGATCACTTGTATGTGTCCCTTGATCCTACACCTTTGTAAAATGGCATTTTTCCATAGGCCAAACAATACTGCCTTCTTGGTAAAATGGTTGCTGTACATGTAAAAACTAAAGTTTGAGGCAGGAAGAGAGGAATGCATTTATTGAGGAGAAGGGGGATGCTTTCATTAGAGGTGCTGAGCTGTATCACCTTTCAACAGCTGTCAGAAAGCTCATTACTGAGGCCGAAACACGCACACACAGCCATGGTCTTGTAAAGTGGGCCTCCTGAATGCCCCTTTAAGGCCAGTAGACTTAACAAGAGGTGTGCTTTAGTGGGCTCACACATGCAAGGTTTAACACAATTTATGAAAAGGGGCAAATAGCAAACTATAAATACAAAAAAATATAAGTCTTGGAATGTATTTCTAGCAGTCTTACATGTTTACAGAACTATGAATACAATGTGATAAACAGCTATATCTAAAGAAAGTGTTCAAGTGGAGCAGGGCAGGAAGGCAGCAGGTGGGATAAGCTTCTGACCAGAGGGCACACTTTAGAAAGTGGAATTACCCTAGCAGTCCAGTGGCGCTCTCAAAACACCCTTTCTTCTTTACAGCACCTCATAAAGGGCCTTTTGATATTTCTTGAAGCAGCCAGCCAAGCTAACATTTGGCAGCAAACACCCCCCTCTTCCTGCACCAAACAAGCTAGTCAAAAAAACAGGTCGTGCCCACTTCTTGCTTGTACTTCATGAACTTTGCAAAGTTTCCTTCAAATACCCCTGTGCAAAATCCAAGGAAGGAGGTATTAAAAAGGCAAGTCAGAATGAAAGGAAACTGAATTACAATGAAAGGGCTGAAGTTTTTAGGTTTTACAGCTCGTGTGGGGGCAAAGCAGACAGTCAAGTGCAGATCTTTGGAAAAAAATGTGTCCCCTCATCCCTGTGGAGAGCTCCAGCTGACTCCTCGTCTGCCCACCAGAAGACTTAGGCAGAGAAACACTGCTCTTCTGCTAATGTGACTGGAGCTTGAACCCAAACCTGGCAATCTGGTGAAGGACTGGGTCATTGATCATGTCACGGGGGCAAAGACAACTCACAGAGAGGCGAAGAAGTGGTTAGAGAGGGCAGAAGCAGACAGGCGTGGTGAGAGAGCAGAGAGTCATCGAGGGAAGCCTGTCTCTTTGATCCTCCGTGTGTTTCTCAGCCTCCCAGACTTCCTCTCACCATCTGTAGCCCTGGCTCTCACCTGTCTGTCTCTGGCACAGCCGCTAACGCTCGTTCAATTGCTATTGCTTCCTTTCTATAACAATAGAAACTCACAAAAGTAGAAGTAGCCTAGGTCCGGAGCTGCAGCCTGCACTGTCAGAGGAAGTGAAGGAAAA